CCTCTGGTTCCTCCAGCACTTAATGCTCCTAAATGTGGTAATTCTCTTGCACTGATGGAACATGAAATGGATTCTTAGCTGCAAAGCYTCCAGGAGGTAATAAGATAACTAGCTTCATTATTTCATTCATTGCATAAGACTTCCTTTTACTGGCAATCCGAGCTGCTCTTTCTCTTCAGTACCATAAAATGCACCTGTTTATCTTTTAGCAGACTTTGAGATGTGAAGGTCAATATTTCTGCAGGTTGATTGATTTGAAGTTGTTTACTCAGACTATGGATCTGTCCTGCTACTTGCTTGATTTTATTTAGGCTTCTTACTTTTGTAGGGCTGCTTACCTGGCTTCTTCATATTATATTGCATAGTAGTTCTTAMAACAGACTCATCAGAGAGTTAATTTCTGTGAGATTTACTTGAAAACTGTGGCAGGCTTTGGCAAATCTTTGTACTGACTCTGTACCATACATCTTCTGCCATTTGCAGGAAACCTTGATTTTTTTACTCAAGAAGAGTAAAAGTACTCTTTTACATAGGAATAGAAGCAATTTCATAGTAAAAAAAATGGTTGAGTCTCATTTTTGTAACCTGTCCTTGTATGGACTTGTTGACTGACTCAGAGATGTGCTGTATCTGTAAGTGTGTGTATATATATGCATATAAGTGTGTGTGCAAATGTGTTTGGGTGTGTGCTGACAGTAGGAAGTGGAGGAGGGGCGCTGGTGCCACTAGAGTCACYTGCAGGCTTTATCTGTGTACCTGAGCTTGTTGCTTGGGGAGCCTTTTCCTTGTGCTTGTGCCTTGAATTTGGTGGATCCCAAAAGCAGGTTGCAGCACATGTCTTGTAGATCCTGTGCCTCCCCAGCATGCTGAATTTATCCTGTATTTCATGCACAGCATGTAGTTGCACATTTCCATAYAATAAATCCATGCTCCCCACTGAATCTGAAGGTAAGAACATCTGGAAGTAGATGGGTACCTCTGGAGCAACTCGTGCAATCTATTGCTGCCTTCTTGCCTAAGTGTTTTGTGGAAGTGGGCAGGAAGGCTTCTGGGAGTGAATTCTGGGGTGTGGAAACTGCTTGTAGCTGTCTCTTTTCCAAAGGGCCATCTGGTCCTTCCCTATTGTCRCCACATGTGCCTTCAAGGCATTATTGATCTGTGCTTGGAACAGGTGACAGGGAGGGCCCAGAGCAAGGTGACCAAGTGTGGGTCGTTTCCCTGAGTTTGCTCTTGGATTATGTATGAGAAGCTCTTGAAAACATGGGAACTGSCTGGAGGTGGCCAGCAAGATAAAATTGTCCTGGAAGTTTTGCTGTAACCTGGGCCTGTTGGTTAGAAATCCTTGTTTTTAATAGGAATCCTTCTCTCTGTGCATGTTGATGCAAAATAATTCCATTTCTGGCAAGGATTGCATGTTGCACCATTTGCTACATTGCTGCWTGTGGTTTGATTTCTTTTTCACTTGTATTCAAACTTCTTTCCTGGTATTTGGATCGCTRCTGTTTTGTCTTGGTTCAGTTGATAGTTGTCTCTATTTTGGGTCTGATGTGTGTCATTTTTATTTTTTCATCTAGTGTTTTCAGTTTTTATAGCTCTCCTTTGTTACATCAAAAGTCAACAATTTGATTAAGTTCCAACTGTTGCAGCATATGTAGTCTGGCTTAATTTCCTCCTGTTGCCTTAAACTGTAATTGGTAACAAAATGAGGCRGCAAATGTTCCAAGTGTGCACTGAGTGTGTGAGTCTGTGGTTGTTATGTTGGGACACTGATGTGATGTTTAGGGCTTGGTCAATGCAGTTTGTGTGGCTGTGTGCTGATGCTGGCAGGTCAGGTGCCTGTGTGGGACTTGTCCCCTGCAGCCCCTCTGTCCGTGGGGCTCTCGTGGGGACAATACAAGTGTTGTGCAGGACACCCTCTCAGCTGTCCACACGTGCCTGCTCAGAGAGAGGAGTTAAACTGACGGCTCTCTGAACACTGCCTGTGCATGTCTGTGTCACACACAGTGCTGAGTGGGAACGCACTGAGGAGCTTGTGCATGTCAGCTTAGATAAAATGAACCCTCCCCACAGGTTCAGATTTTCTTTACAGCTTTATCAGTTCTCTGCGAGGTCCAGACACTCTCCCTGCTATCTCTCTGAGAACCTTCACGCAGATTTTTCTGCTTTTCTTACCTACTGCTGCCACTGAAGACTCTGCATTGCCTCAAGTCTGGTCCCCAAGTCTGGAGATGAGCCACTTGTCTTTATTTCTCTGTAAATTGCATGGTAGTTCTGGGTTGAAAATGCAAGTGCCCAGTGGTAGGACAGAGTGGGCCCTTACTGCCCAAGGACACAGCATGGCCTGCACAATTCTTTTTGTATGAAAGACAAAAAATAGAAGAAGAGAGGGGAACTGCACTGATGCTACAGTTTGAGGTAGTGCTGCAACAATCAATTAAATAATTGTTTAAAAGAAGCAGAAACAAAATTGAAAGATAATTCCATCRCATTTCTTGCCTTGGCTGCCCCGTTGTTTGTTTTTTTTTTCATTCCAGATGGGTTAATTGGCAGTATTTTTAGCAGAGTCCAGAAGAAGTTGCAGCGGTGTAGCTGAAGGGGCAGTGTGTTGTAGCGACAAACAGGAGTAAGACTGAACGTGGGAGGGAATTTCTAGGGCCAGCCTTGCTTCCACAGGGAGTGTTTTATGTGAAACTGGGTTGTGGATAATGAACAGATGCTGGGGAACTAGTCATTGACACTTAGGGAAAGCCGCTGAGATTTCCCAAGCTCTAAGAAGAATAGACTTCAGAAACTGTCAAGAGATGTGACAAGAGTGGGCAAGGATAGAGGCCCATAATTATTTCTGGGCAAGCCACATGGCACAGAGTAGGATTATTCTACCTGAAAAGGGGTGACCAGATCGAAGCATGGAAAATGCAAATACGGGCTTGGGGTTTGTTTTCTCTTGTTTCATAAGAATTGGATCACATCAACAATAGTTCTAACAATTGGCAACTTTAAAACACAGTTATTCTTTTCATTTGCTGTGAGTAATTAACCCTTGCACATTGCTGCAGATGGTATAGATATAAAGCTTGTTTAGACAGACACATCCATGAGAGAAGAAATATGCTGGGGTCTTAAAGGTTTGGGAGAACAACTCAGAAATATCAGTGTATTCTTGTCCTTTTCTTATACCTTTCTCTACATGCATAAGCCCTCTTGTGCAGGTGAACCTATAGTCTAAGCCAGCGCAACTGCTATTTTCTTTAGTGTAGAAAATAGCTGCTGGCAGCTGCATATTGTTCTGGTATCTACTGTAATASAGCTGTTCAGACAAATCCTGTAAATTGGTAGTACACCAACAGCCTGGTCGTTAGGCTCTGACAATATTTGGCAATAGTAAATACTTTTTACATTTGGCTACGTTTGGCTTATGTGCCCTGGACAATTTTGGTGATTGATTGAAATGATTGATACTTCCAAGAAYAGGTCTGAATTCATGATGAAATAATAGTACGATAATGTTCTAGATAACTGTTTTTGTGCTGCTGCTTTGTGTTTCYTCAGCTTGTGTGAAACTTAGAGGCCAACACTTTGCTTTCTGATTTCTCCTAAGTAGCAGATGGACCCCTTTGTAAGATTGCTTCTCCTACTGGGTGTGTGTCTGTGTGTTGGGAGGCAAAACCTGTGTAAACTGAGTTTCCTGGCCAGTTGGATGTTCAGAGATTGATGCTGGTTGTGGATGCCATGGGAGTGTGGCAGACACCACGAGCGGGTCTGTTCCTGGCAYGGGCTGAGCGTGGTGCTGTGTGCAGTGTTTGGCTCAGTTCTGAGCTTTGTGTGTCTCTGCTGTGTACACACTGTTTGCTTTTTCCTTTTCCTCATACACCTGCCAGGACCCGACTGGTGGTCTTGGGAGTTTGCACTTGGATAAAATGGAAACTTCAGAGGGATTTTTCAAGGTCTCTCCTTAGAGCTACTGATTAAGAAAAAGGCAAATTTTTCTAAGAGATCAAATAGTTTGGATTTTATCTTTCTATTGATTTCTTTTCAGYACAGTAGAAGCCAGGTGTGTGGCCATGGTGGGGTGTTTGTATACATGTGTGGTTTTTTTAAGTCATTTTATAGAAATTCATTGTAGACCCGAACTGTCCAAAATAACTAATTCATTTGGAAGGTGTGATATGCTCTGATAACATAATCAAGCTTTTCCCAATGAATGCTGCTGCATGTATGGAACAGAAAAGTTTGKTTTTTTCCTCATACAAAGTAAATAAATTTTTAAAAAATACAGTAAAGCATAATATTTGACACATGAAATATATGCAGTTKCTTACCTACAGTGGTTATGTATCTGAGGAGCTTGAAATCTCAGGGATTATAAAAATATCTCCTGGCTACCTATAGTTCTGAGGGCATTTTTAAAACTGTGTCTGAGTTTTAAATATCATGTGGCTATCCTGTGATCCAGGTGGTTTACAAAAAACCCAAGTCCAACTTCTGTGTATTATTTTATTTACTATGTATGCTTCATTTTATTTTGTCTTCCTGAACTTTTTAGAGTGTTCCTGAGTGACTAATGTGCTACTTTGGCCTTTATAAATACTGAGATGTTCACTATGCAATGTAAAATCAGTGTTTGTCCCAAAATTTATCATTTTTCTGGGAATATATACTGGTCAATCTGAATGGAGTAACARTATTTGTTTTTTTCAACACAGTTTTAAAACTGAAAAAATACTCTAAGTAGTTTAGAGGAATTCCAGTRATTTCAATTTGAACTTGTGTTTATRCAATTATAATACCAGAAAATGGTGCATAGAGTTCTGGTCTCTGTCAATATTTGTTCTGTCTCCACCTCGAGAGAAGGTGCATAGATTTCTGAATTTGTGCACATGTATAATTATGCAAAATAAATGCTCAATTATAAAACTATATTCTGAAAAAAAATTAGTCATTTGCCTTTTATAAAAACACTTCTTAAGAGTCTCTGATAAGTATTCTTTTTTTCTTGACAGTCTGTGGTGGACGACTGGATTGAATCATATAAACAAGACAGGGACATAGCACTTCTGGATTTAATCAACTTCTTTATCCAGTGTTCAGGATGTCGAGGTACAGAACATGGGAAACAAGTTGTATAGAATAAATCTGACCTACAAACATGTGTTAGTGCAAATGCTGGTAAAGGTGGGGGAAACGCTTGGGTTGGTAYTCCTCATGTGCATGGTTTGTATAGAAATATTGTCTGCATTCCACAATAACTTGATTTAAAGCTTGTTTGTCAAGGGCTACCCTTTCTCTTTCTCACTTTCCTGTCATCATGCTAAAGTGTACAAATCGTCACAGAGAYGCTCTACTCGTCAGCAGCAGGAGACAAAAGATCTGGTACTCCAGGTAGGCGTATCTTTACTTCCCTTTTCTGTTTCTTCCCAGTTTTTTTAATTGCAAAACTTAGTAGGTGCAGCTGTACCTTAACTTTGATATTTTTTCTTTCTTTCTAGGGAAATGATAATTTTTTTAAGCTAAAGAGGAAGAAGTCAGGCTTCAGTTGACTTCGATAAGCAAGAAAGATTTCCTGTGGATGAAGCACCAGTCTTGTTTGTTCCTCTGTGATACTTTATCACATCAGCAGCGAGTGCCCTGCCTTTTGTACCCTGTTTAAGCAGTCTCTGTTACCAGGCATGCTGCAGTCAGCCTTTCTAGTATTCTCTTGCCACTCTGTGCCTTCTAATGAATTTTTCATGTGTTGTCTTTTTTCACTTAACTCAGCCTTGAAAAGAGACAGAGCTCCTCTCTCTCTGTAGTGCCCAGAACCAAACCATTTACTGTTTCTTGATGCTTCCTAGAATTTACTTTAAGTAGAGCTGAAAACTGCCCACTATTCAGAAATGCTTTTTCTGCATTTTGTGTCTGATGTGGGAATGTGCATTTAGGCATCMAGTGGTCTGGCTAGAAGTCCCTTTTCTTCCTTCTGAAGTATAAGGTGAAGTCTCGAGTAGTTAAAAGCATCAGGGAAAAGAAATGGGAACCATCAGCAGCTTCAGCAATGCTTTTTCATAGCTGAAGGAATAAACTTATTTTGTGGATGACAGGAAAGACTGAAGCTCTGGAAGCATTCTGTGAAAGGGCTGAAGGTTAGGGCATAGGTTACCAGCCTGTGTCAATGTCTGCACTGTTCACACARACTCCCTGAAACATTCATTTTTCAGTTGTGTTTGGCAGCTTATGTGAAAGTAGTTGTATTCCATTTGCTTTTTTTAAAATTCTCTCCTAAAGGTGTGTATGAAAAACCCAACCCAACAAGCTYATTTGTAAGAATTTGGGCAGCATTRAACCAAAGGCATGGTTGGCCATGTTCGTATTCTTGTCAATGCAGGCTTTTTGTGAAGGCACGTCATAAATACCTTCATTCCCCGGCTGCTCTCTAATTTATTCTCCCTTTCCTTCTCGTTAGAGGAAGCAGCACTCTGATAAGATTCCTATCTTTCAAACCCYTCGTTGGTGAGTGATGCAGGCTGAATGCCCACTGTCAGCCATATGCTGCTGGAGCAAGTGCTTCCCCAAAAAGCTTTCTGCTCCTGGCTGGGAGGCAGCAGCACTGCCAGTGCCTGATGCCAGTGACTTGCTTGGCTTTTCTTTGAGTGGTGCCTTTCCATTTTCTGTGCTCTGCTCTGTAACCCCAGGGATATCTCTGCTGAGCTTTCTTCAGTGCCTTCTGGTCCCAGACAGCAAGGGTAGGAGAAAGGAARCAAAAATTACTTATCCCCCAGTCTGTGGTGTGGTTGAGAGATTTATTTCTCTGTTGGAATTTTTGCASTGGGTACAGTAACGGCTGTAGAACAGGGTAAAATCCTGGCAAACAGTTCAGTTCTTTCCAGTTTCCAGTAATATGCCTGTTTTCTAGAATAAATAAGAGCTTATCAGAAGAGAGTGGATTTTATTGGTAGTTCACTTAGGGTAAAGTGCATGCTAAGCTGTGCTTAATGGAAATGAGAAATATGGGGTTGTTCTGTGTTTCGTGAGGAAGACCAAATTTCTTTTCCATGAGAAGATCATATATTATGACATTTTGGTTTCTCTTTAGAGACTTGGTTGATATTCATGCTTATTTTTATTTCTGATAAATCACAATCCTTTGTGAATCTCAACAACTGCTTTGTCTTCCTTAGTATTCCTTAATTTTTTTCTTTTCAATTTGTTCCACTAACATTGTCTCAGATTCTCCACCCTTCTTTCCCAAAGTTGGATCTCAGTGCTGACTGATAATATATGTAAGTTTGTGATCAGTTACTGAAAGGGAGGAGGACAACTAACTTGAGAGGAAGTTTTTCAGGGAAGTGTGATGCTAGGTTTATAAATCTTCCATTTCAACAGTGCTTAGAATTATTTGTTGTCTAAATATATGTAAAGTATATTTAGCTTGATGTGTCTTTGAAAGGTTTTGATCAGTGAAGAGTGTGTGTCCATTTTCTGACTTTAATTAGAAATCATTGTGGCACCAAACTGTTTTATTTAGCAGCACTATTGACTCTGACAAAAATACCTTTCTGTTTAGAGAAACATTGATTTTTATGTATTTATCCCATTCTCTTGGGCAGCACAGACACTTGAATGAATCTCTTGGCATCYTCCAGCTTTGCTTAGATATGTTGCTGAAATGAGAAATGATCTCTTGTAAATATGAGTAAGCAGTTGTATTATGTAAATTGTTAATACTCCATTGTCAAATTAGTGATTTTGGCAGGTKAACATAAAAGATTGTGCAATTTAAAATTCAATAAATATACACRAAATAGTCAAGCATGTCTGTCCTTTGTCAACTCTTCTGAGTATCTGTTTAATGTATGTCCATTAAAAATGTAGGAGATTAGGTTTTAGCATGACTCCAATAATATTTCTATASTTGTAGAGTGCTATTTGGTGTAAATTAGAAGCTTCTTGTATTGAACTTGTCAAAACATCTCAATTCAATAAGCAGATCTGCATGGGAGTTGGTCACTTYTCATGTCATCTTTCCTCTAGTTTCCCTGCTCAATCTGTCCATATGCTGCCTTCACTRATTTTGATTACAAAGAACAGAAATGGTTGTGTAAAGAATTTTTCTTTTTCTTTCTTGTTTTTTTCCTTCAAGCATATAAAAAGTCCCTGCCTTTCACAGCTTGTCTATGTTGTCTTCTCCATCACATTATATTGGATTTCTGTGACACCAAAATGGTTGACAAGGACTGAGACACATTCACCCATTCACTTTTTGGTTCTGACCCTTTTAAAATGGGTTGTTGCTTTTAGAGGGAGGATCTTCTATCATATAGTACCTTAGAAAGGTGAAAAGGTAAGTTTTAAGATACTACTTCTTTCTGGAAAAACAGTAAAAATGCTGTTTGTAGTACTTGAAAATAAAGCAGGTATGTCTGTTGGTAGTAGGTGTTTACTTTCCATGGGATTCACAATCTGTAAAGCAGGTGGTGTTATATTTACTTTCTTATTTCTAAGTCAGGAGCAGCATTTCAGAGTTTTCATTATTAGATAACAGAGAAGTTTTTGATGTTAGCTTCTCATARTGACAAAGTGATTTTTTCAAGTGAGTGCCTGGGGTGCATCCACATCACTGAGATTTCCATGCCCAGTGTTGTGCTTTGGTCAGCAGCGCTGTGGATTCAGGCACCCTCCTCCCTTGCAGAAGAGTTGCAGATCAGTGTTCATAGTTTCCTGGGGGGTTTTGTGAGCTCTTTTCCTTTGCTTTTTTTCTTTGTAGAAACATATTTTGGCTTTTTCYCTTTTTTCTCTTCTTCCTTTGAACATTTATGTAAAGCACAACATCGAGTGCCGAGCTCCCTGAGCTGGTTGCAAGCAAACTGAAATGTCTAATCAGCAATATGTGTGTGCAGGTCCCAGAAGGATTATAACTGTGTCAGTGTGATGCTGCATCTGGGCTAATTAGCTCTGCCTCTCAGACTGAGTAATTAGCTCAGGTATCCTGCTCTGCTGCTATGACAACCAGGCTGTTTCCATTTCTGGAGCTCCCTGAATTTAGAGCTGACTTGGGTATCTGTGTGGCTGTCAGCTCATGCCTTCTGTTGTTGATATAGAACAAAYGGTAAGCTCCTCGAGCACTCTGACCTTTCTACATTTTGAAGGCAAAGAGAGCCATGCTTGTGGAATAAATATTTTTTTCCTAACCGTAAGCAATTAGTGGTTGAAACAGCCTTTTGAGCTGTGAAGGAAAACCAGCATTGAGTCCATGGGAGGAAAGAAGCTTTCTTTTGCAGGGGAAAAGGGACTCGCGTAGTTGRAGAGGAAACTACTTGACTGCTTTCAAGTGTACTGTGAAATTATTCCCATTCTTTCTCTCCCATCCATCTCCATCCCTCTCATTTATTTTCTGCTTGGCAAGCCAGAAACCTGTCCATTCCTAAGCAGGTTTTCYGAAGTGGTTTGAGCACTGCTGGCGCTTGCTCACCTGTCTCTACCAGCTCTTCGACACCAGTTGCTGTTGGAACCAAACTGGTGGAGCTCCCTTCCTGTCACATTCCTGGCAGTGTTGTAACCTCCTCTGGACTGTAAGGGGCTCTCTGTTAACTGCAGCATTTTGAATTGGCACACTAAAGTCCTTAGTAGTTGGTGAAAGGAAGTGGGTAAATTTTCTTTATATGATCTTTCCGTATTWTTCCCACAGAATCTTCTCTTTAGGTTCCTGTGTGAAATCAATGCTGATGAGCAAATATTCCAGCTGTCACCTTTCAGCCTGGATTGCTGGTGGGTGCTGCAGTAAGGCTGGGTTTTTCTCAGGTGTGAGTAAGCAGAGATCTGTCTGTGATTTGAGGGCCTAAAGTCAGACTCCTTTGTGGAACTTTTCTTAGGAAACAAACACTTGGGGTTCGACGCTCTCTTCCCACTTAATTCTTGAGTGCCTGGTTGTTTCTCACCTATTTGACGTCTGTCAAATTCTGTTTGAATTGTGCAAACTGAGCCAATAATTGCAGGATTTCTGAGTTAGCGTGCTCATTTTGGGTTTTATTTATGTTGTATGAGCTTAATTAAGGGCAAACAAATAAATTTCTGCTTTGCCAAAGGAAATTGAAGGCTGAAAGCAGGGAAAAGCAGCAGAGTGG